GTTGGGGTGGGAAAGTAACGCATCTCGTTTTTGTAACCTAAAAATTATCATGGCTAAATTTGAAAAATAGAATTAAATGAAGTATTACTATCCAATGAGCATAACATAAATTAGAATGCTGCAGTTTTAACAGTCTTTCGTCAAAAATTGCCTTTTTGGTGCATTTTTCTGTTTGTCAACGACCAATAATAGAAATTCTTCTGTTCTGTCCTTATTTTTGACCATGGTCTCACCTCCACTTGAAATACACTAACCCTATAGCAATTGCAATCCACCAGACGCCGTGACGGTGGTTGTTTCGTGAGCCAAACAGTACCTACTTTTTTTTCTCATAGTCGGAGCAGGTGATATGAAGTTATCTGCATACTTGTAGCAAAGGTTCCCAATTTTACCGGCAATGGAACCCTAAATGTTTGACCGTCTTTTGACAGAAACCAGACTTTACATATAATGACAAAGTTGAAAATGGTTACCAGAAAAATAAATTTCTTTATTAAGGAATTTAACTATTTAATTTCAATTTGAGAAAATACTAATGCAATTTTTTTTTATAAAAACATGTGCTTTCCATAACTTATTCAAGATGTTGTTGGAAAAATTATATACATATATATATATATATTTTTTATAAAATTCGACCATTCCCTTATCATCGGCATTTCATAAAGTCAATCACAATATTAAAAAGTTTAACTTGTCACCCTTTTCATCTTTTTACGGAACCGCTGTGCTATATGGTTAAAACTGTTTTACTAATTCTTGTATTTCGCTAATATACGGTTTTATTGTATTTTTAATAAGTAAGGCTTTATTAAAGATACTTGTAGTGTGTTTACCACTAAAAAAATACAATTCAATAGTGTATAAGACATGTTAACTCAATTCTATGTTGAGGTACCTAAGGATAGATGAAGGTTGGTATTTTCGGTATTTGACATTCGTTTTTTCTCTCGAATTTTAAGAGAGGAAAACATTTAATTCTAAGTTGAATAGATTATTTTACTTCTGTGAAATGAAGGATAAAACGGTGTGTTAATTGTGCAATACAGTTTTCACAATTTTGAAGAAGAAAAAAAAAAGCGAATCAATACACTATTCGACTTATACAGAACATAAGTATAAGAATTTCAATTTAGAAGGTGAATCAAGACTATTTATTAAAAATACTTCTACTTTATTATTTTTATTTGGAACAGCGTTTAAATATATAAACAAAAATTATTAAATAATACTATAAGTTATTAGTCTTATGTGAATGCAAAAATAATTGGGTATATTCCGTATCGTGATCTATCGCGCTAACTATTACACTCGTCAAGGTGCCAAATAGGTTTTAAATTTGCATTAAAAAAAAAAAACACGTAGATTTTTGCCCGGGGGTGGCTACGAGTTATACCTTTTAAGTTGGTCCCTTTCTGTGATGATTTTTTTTTTTAGTTTCTCGAGGGGTCGCTGCCCGGAAGTTGCCAACACGAATTAACTGCTACAGTTCACGATGCGGAAATCTACCCAAATATTTTATGTTAAAACTTTTATATTAATAAACTAGAATTTTTTTTTTTTGGTATTATTTCTCATATAGTGCAATAAAATAATAAAACTGCGAAAGTAGAGTTGGTTTCTTCTTCCTCCCTCCTTGTATCTCTCTTCAAACCAAATTTCATTAAAATGTGCCCAGTATCTCTGGAGAGAGACAACCAAATTTTTATTTTTGAGTGCCAATGTAATTTATTGTCTTTAAATATGAATTTTTAATATAGACTAAAAAATGCAATGAATTATGAAGTTTTAAAGCTTTTATACTAGAAATTGTTTCATTTAAATCGTGCCTACTTCATTCATTCTCTGAGAAACCGCTTGAGCAGTTACCAGGCTTCGCGGGCAAAAGAAAAAGTCAGAACAATATTTTATTTAAAAAAAAAAAAAAAAAAACTTAGTACTTTTTGAACTTTATAGATGTTACTGTGAATGGCGAAATCAAGAGAATGTCGACTTTCAACAGTGAATGTCAGCATTCACAAAGTCACTTTGGTGAAGGTGAGAGATATTTGTTACATCCGATTTGATAATATATTCGTTGATATTATTATATTCATCCGATAATTGTAAGATCTACTGAGGATAGATTAGGAGAAGCATCAGTGTTCGGAATACCGGGCAATAGCACTCGGCTTAAAAAGAAAAAAAACATTGTAGGGTACCAAGCAAATGTATACCGGACAGTGGCACTTAACTAGACCTAGTATATATTTCGGACATTTACTAAAGCGACTATGTGATTATCAACATTCACAGTAACATGATATACCAAATTGCCTTAAACTATAAAAAAAGCATAATTCGCTTGACTCAAGAAAAGCATAGTTTGCTCTACTTAAGAATAATAAAAGCTAATTTTATCACAAAATAATTCAAATAATTTCCAGTATAATTTTATCAATACAGAACAAATAATATCTTCAAATCAAAGATAGCACTGTTGCAGTAAAAATAACAACAGATATCAATTAGTTAATATTCTCTCATTCTGATAAATAATAAAAATTTGTAATAGGGTTCAAGATTTCCTTAAATCAAATATTTTCAAAGTAGGGCTTTAATAATTTTGAAACAAAAATAAAGGGAATATAATTTTAATGGCTGATCCAATTCAACATTTAAAAATACTGTAATATGATTACTGTATTTTTGAATTCTATTATTTTTAAAACCATATGAAAGCGGCTAAGTAATAATTTGCGAAAATAAAAATAATTTCTTCAAAATTTGCTATTGTTTTGCTTATAATAATAAATAAATACAGGTTTGTTAATTGAATACTTGCACTTCAAGACCTCCCACGCGCACACATGTGACCTATGACGTCAGCTAATCTTTATCAGAAAAATGACATAGTTAAGTTCAGCTAAGTTTCTCTGCCTAAGTTAGAATGTTAATTATGGATAAGTTAATTAAATACAAAGCCATATCGAATTAGTTGAAATATAATTTTTTCTCGTCTACTTCTTTTACTTAACTTAGATTAATTATTTGTTTATGAATTTTATTGCAACCATGATATATTTTTGTTTTGCGTACCTCGCAATTTCGATGAATAATTATGATCCATATAGCTTCATGCCTGTCTTTGTGTTAAGTCTCTGTGTAAATATATAGTGAAAGAATTTAGAATGTGTCACTTAAGAGAATTGATACTTGACAGGTTTGGCTTACTCGAAATAGAATGGAAAGAGCAGTTCTAACGTAAACAAATGCCACGCTCAAACAACCAATCAGGAACGAGGTACTCATACTTTGTCCCTTGCATGTATCCCATTCAGTTTTTTTAATTTTTTTTTAAGAATAATTTAATTCCAAAAAGGTTTAAAAATGAATTCTGTGGGTAGGGCTGTATGTCTGAACCATGTATATATATAATTAGTCAAAATAAAAATAGGTTGGATCAAAAATGCTAACTTTTCGATAATTCGAATCTATATTTTAAAAATCCATAATTGTATTCTTGAAAATGGGACGTTCTGATCAACTATGAAAACTCAGGAATACCAAGACAAAATATGTATTTTTAAAGCGAAAATCAAGACAACTATGAAATTTGAGTTACTCATCAGTTTTAGAGAGAACATTTTTGTGGAAAAAAGGATCAGGAAAACTCCTTATTGCAGATTTCCTAAATGGTATAATTATAATAAGTAACTTCATTTTATGCTCCCTCATTTTACTAATTATTATCTCCTAAAGCTTTATAACGAGAATCTTATAAAGCTTTATAACTTAAAGCAACCTAGTGTAAATATAATTCATTAAATACGTTTACGTGTTCTCAAGTTTACTTTTTTATTAATTTACTAAAGTCAAAGGTAACATTCTGCAGAGATTATATAGTCTATAGGTACTTTTCAATAAAAAACATTTGGTCCTGTAGTAGCAGGTCTACAATATCAGGTTTTTGAATTTTAACTGTAATGAAAAGCAATGAAAATATATATTTAAAAATTGTCAGTCCTCAATTAAGTCCAGAAAATATTTTATTTTACTAAAGTTAAAAACCGCCAGAGTGATCCCTTTAAGTCATATTTGTTTTCATAGTGGTTCTGGTTACTTTTAGAGACCGAAATGTATTAACAATAAAAGTACTTATTTAGCACACTTAAAGTAATTTTTGGGCAACAAATTCCATGTGTTGCATTCCAAACGAACTTGTTACTTCAAACACCAAACCAACCTTATAAATAGCACAAATTTAATAAGAAAATCTCTGATAAAAATGTGATAACTAGATCAAATTTTAATGACGTTGGTTCATATTTTTCTTTTCGTAATCCATTGCACACATCAGATAAACAAAGTCATAAAACAATTTTAAAATACAGACACACAATTCATACAATAAATTAACAATTTATTTTTAAAATCATAAATTTCATTTTTCTCCTATAAAACATAATATTTTCTTACAGCTTTAAAACTGTATAACTTTTTTCCTAAAAAGAAAAAAAAAAGGTGCAGATCATGTCACAACACAATAGCTTCAGAAAAAAAAAAAAAAAATTNAACTAAAAAAAAAAAAAAAAAAAAAAAACAATTTGAACTAGGTAAAAATAATTACGTAAAGAAGATAAAAGCTACACTTTTTTTAAGTTTTAAATTAAATAAATATTTAAAAAGAAATACAAGTGAGATGGTGAAGTTAAACAGATGAGAGCTGCCAAGCAGCCTGTATGAATTTTAGTAGTATTAAAATTTAGAATAAAGGCACCATGACAAACACCTGAAATGAGTTAGACTTGCATTTCATAATTGTATACAAAAAGAACCAACAATTCGAAAATAATATATTGATTTTTTTTTTACACCAAACATTTCCATTTACCATTTTAACCATCTAATGAGGTATAATAATATATACAGATTTAATAAGAAAGATCAACTGGAATTTATTTAAGTCAAAACAGCATAACTTTTGCTGATAAGTTAAATAAGTTATAAATTTCCTTCTGTTTTCTCTTTTGTTGAACACACACACAAAATTTCTATATAGAGTCAAATCTCACTCTAGCGATTGAGTCCATTTGCTTGAAAGAATGTATTGGCAAGGAAGTGGATAACTTTTTTTTGCAGGACACAGCTCTGAAAAAATACCCTGAGCAATTACACTATACTGCAGCAGTTTTTTTTATTTTTTATTTTTAATAGAAAAGACGAAAATTGTAACTCAGATCTTCTTTCAACCTGAAAAATAAGATTGAACATTGTCAAACTAGTCTTTTTTTTAAAAAAAAATTTTTTTTAGTATATTTTATAAGGAAGTACAAAAAAAGCACAAATTATCAATGGTTCTCAATAGCTAACATAATACACAAAGTCAAAATGTAGATGGCAGTATGCAAATATGCAGGTGGCCATAGCATTGTTGTATGAGTAACAGGTGTGCATTTGCAGGGCTTTTTAAGTTGTCTAGTATTTCATGTTCACTATAATTTAACTTGTCAGTTCATTAATTCACTTAATACTTGTCAGGTATCAACACTGAATAGATGTTGGTGCTAAAGGCATGTTTCGCATTTCAGTAACTGTAAAGAAATATGGTCATAGCTAAATCTAGGCCAAGTCTGGAGTAGTTGAACATGTAAATAATTAGGGAGAAAACTAAAAATTGTTTTAAAAGTCCTGATGAAGCCTGACATGGATAAAGTGACCATCACGAATAAAAATAAACATGGTTTTTTTAAAAATCAAATCTACAAAAATAGAATTATTCTAAATTCAAGCAAAACCAAGTTTTTGCTGGGCATATGTTTTAAACAGGAGGTAAAAGGCACTTTTCTTGAATGAATATTAAAAATCTCTTTCCTTCTAAATGTTGATGATAAATACAGGGTATCTGCTACATTTTATAATTTTAAATGCATGATTTTCCATGCATAATTCCAAGAATTTTTCATGACTTACCGAAGTTACTATGTTCTCCACAAAAAAACAACATTAAATTTAAAACAGCATTATAATAACATGAAATGAAAGGAATAACCAAAACTGTTATAGCATCTTCATATTTAAATTTAAAAAACAGAGTAAAGAAAGAGTTAAAGCAATAAAATAACTGGAAAAAAAATACAAAAGGACATAACTAAATACTATCAGATTTATGTAGTTATTTAAAGCTGTTTTATTTCTTTTTTTAAGAAAGTGTAATATAAAAAGCCTAAATTAGAATTTTAAATTGATAAAATAAAAATAATAAATCAATAAAAAAATTCTGAAAATCACAGCAGTTTAAAAGATGATTCGCTCTAGAAATGATGACCCTAATTTTTAAAGAACAGGATAAGAACATTTTCTATTTTAATAGAATATGACTATGAGGGGGGATTTTGCTATAAATTTAGATATTTGGAACATGGGAACACTGTGAAATTGGGAGGGGTGGGGGTAAATTCCATTATAAAAATTTGATTTTTCAGCAACCTAAACCCATGACTTTCCATGAGTTTTATTTTAAAAATAGTTAAAATCATGACAAATTTTGTTCAATACTGAAATCAATGACTTTCCATGATTTTTCATGACTTTCCAGGGGTGTTGATACTTTGTATATAGAAGAAAGACTGCCACCCACTTAAGAAAGATACAGGTCTATATTACAATTGTTGGGGAAGGGTCAGAGTTAGTAAGAATGACACTGTATGAAGAAGTGTAAAAGAATCCAAATGAAAACTGCTAATGAGAAGTAATTAAATGCCTCATCATCATATTCATTAACCTGCACAATTAAGTAAGAATGAAAAAACTACAGTCGAGTTGAAAAATAATTAGAATGCTTAACAATTGACTGAATATCTTTAGTATTCAATGAGTTATTTTCTGTGAGTTATTTTATCTAGCTAAAACAAAAACGAGGAGCTAGAATATCACTGAACATTTATAATCTAGTACCTGTTTTGTTATGATTCAACTATGAAAGTTGATGAATGAACTATGAAGATTCAACTCATGTTGATTGTAGTTGAACAATACAATCAACTTATGTTGATTGTAGTTGAAAGATGATGATCATATTGAGTAAAATTTGTTAGCTTGAAACATGACTATGTATATCAAATATAAATTTGAGATGTAGACTTAGTCACTTAAGGTAGTACATGATAGTTATAAAAACTTTTATAAACCTTCAAAAGATGCTGATTCTCTAATTTTAAATTCAGCTGATAAATATTTATACAAAGACTTTAAAACCATTCTTAAAAATAATAAGTTCCACTCATGTGTAGTCAAAGGTATTTAAAATAGTTTAAATAAAATATAAACGCAATTCCCCTCTCATTATTTCTCTAAATAAAACATCTAACATCAATGAAATCAGACTGCAGGCGTCGTAACCAGTAGGTGGGCAAACAGTGAAACATGTCCCCATCAATCTCTATAAATCCACGTCAATATTTCAGACAAGCAAGGAAAATTTTTATAAATCATTTTTTTACATTTTAAGTATTAATAAAAGAAATTATTTTTGTCTTATTTGTTATCATATATTTATCAATTTTTTTTTATGTGTGGAATTTAGAGTAACTATTAAAACTGTATTTTAATTTTGCCCCTTTTCCTCTGTGACACCCATGAATTACACTTAAATAAAAATAAAAACCTTGTGAATAAGTTTATAAGTTATATAAAAAAATATTTTTAACATGAATCAATGATTTCTATCAAAAAATTATCAGCGGATTTAAATTAATAAAGGGGGAAGATCATCTAGATAAGTGAGTTATTGTTCAATGCGTAATTTCATTTATACTGAATTAAATGACAACAAAATCAAGTCAATAAAGAATCACAGTTCAGAAGTTATAAGAAATTCAGTAAGCATTAAGTATGAAAAAGCACAATTTCTGATTATATATATTTACACATCTGAAATAACGATCAATAAAAAGAGGTATTTTCTGCATTTTTTTAAGGTCGAATAAAATAAAATAAAACGAAATTGTTCAAAAGTTTCTAATGCTTATATGCATAAAAAGTTCAGTTTTGTACTTAAACCTACCAATGTGTTTGATATTACACTATGGATAAGAGATATATTGAATGTTATGTAATGCTTTTTTTAAGCTGCATTAATTAAGACCAAAAAATCACGAGGAATCACCCTCAGTTTTTCAAAATCACATGGAAAAACGTACCAATAACTTCCTTCAAAAAAAAAGAAGAAAAAAAGATGAAATTGGCACAAATAAAGCATGCTAAAAAATGATCTAAACATCACTTGGATTTATGACGAAAAAGGCAAAACCGAAGCGCGTCGAAAAGTGATTTAAACGTGTGATTTGAAACTAGCAGGCCGTTTGAATATCGCCATAAAAATACTGGATTTGCAAAATCATGTGGTCAAGCGTAGCAATAACTGCCTTTGATATCTATTAATTTTTCTAGGAAAAAAATTCAGAGCGTTCAGAAGCTCCCACAGGTCGCATATCAACGGTCGGTAGGCAGCAGGTTGTGCACCCCTACAGATTTCTAACTGTCACTGTAATTGTTTATTTTCATTCATTGTAGTTGTGTCCATTTGTTTGCTCACCCGCTAACGATGGGATCACTAGCTTTTTTTTGGCCAAATAAGCCTTGCATAAATTATGATTATGTAGTCATCTGTCTATTTCACTTCTTCTCCTTTTTGAGGACACTGGTTTTAATGCTACAAAAATTTTTAAAAAATAGTATCCATAAAATTGGAGAATCTCTGACAATGTATTCGGGCACAACGTGTGCCTATATTATCTAACTATGGTGACTGTGATACATATTTTTGTTTTGTGTACCCGGCAACTTCATTGCATAATTAGTTTATGTTCTACATGACTTTCGAGTCTCTCTTTGTGATTAGTAAGAAATATATAGTGAAAGAATTGAAATCTTTGTGAAAGAATATAGAATGTGTCACTTAAGAAAATTGATGCTCGACAGGCTTTGCTTGCTCGAAATAGAATGGAAAGAGCAGTTGTTAACGCAAACAAATGCTACGTTTCAACAACCAAACAGGATCACGATACTCACACTATGTCATTTGCACGTATCCCTTTGTAAAGTCTATAAAGTTTTTGGAAAACTAAATGAATACCTATATTATCTTATTGAATCACTAAATTTTCATAGTTAATAAGCCTTAGTTATTATATCTGTTGGCAGAAGAGTACTTTTAAAGGAGATAAAATAAATTTTGACTTAAAATAAGTAATAAAGCATACCTATATCCTTTTCGTCTTCTTCGTTGGCCTTAGTACCCTCAGAAGACTCTTCTGATGAATCATCTTCATCGTCACTATCTTCCATATCACTATCCAGACCAAAATCTGACATTCTGATTATAATCATCTCATCAGACGAATAAAGACACTTCTTGCACTTTTCAATCCTGCATAGTTTAACCTTACACTTTTTCATGTGCTTATTAATAATATGATCCTGTAAATTTTCTGTAACATAACCACACTCTTTACACTTCCTTGGGCCTTCATAAGGTCTTTTGGGTGGAGGTGGTTCTGCAGGCGGTTCTTCTGCAGAACGTTTTGCTGATCCACTATGTACATTATATACATGGCTTTCGAATAATCTATAAAGTGTAAATGTAGCAGTACACACAGTACACTTATAAGAAAGATGAGCTGGTTTTAAAGTCACTTTATGAACCTGAGTCATATGAGATACAAGCTTGTAAGTGAAAACAGCAGCACAAATAATACATCTTCCACCATCTTGATTTTTGTTGGCTAGCTCTTGCATGTTAGTGGTAACTAATCCATGAGCTCCAAGCAAATGTCTTTCCAGGCCTTGATCAGTGAAAAATCGCCACTGGCATTTTTGACAGTTCAGGGGAGGTCTGCTGACCAGCATTTTTGGATGAATTTTGACTTTATGAACCCAGTTCATGTGAGTACGAAGTTCTTCCAAGTCTTTAACATATGAATCACAAATCTCACACACCACAAACGTGTTACCAGAACTACCTTTCACTACCTGTGATGGAGGTGTGCTCAGCCTCTGAAACGGTACTGCAGGTCTAAGAGGCCTAACATTTAAGTTGGCAGGGAACTTAGCTTGAGGTTGTCCCATTATGCCACTTGAACCTGCAACATTTGTAAACAGTGCCAAAGGCTGAGGTGCACCCGGTCTTTGAGTAACATTCCTATTTGAAGCAACACCAATAGGAGTTAGTGTTACATTTTTAACAGTAGGCAATGTGGGACGAGGTGTTACAGCTCCAGGTCGTGTAACAGGAGTTATGGAAATACCAGAAGAAGCTAAATGAGAGGCAGTAGTGGTAAGATTTGGGGAGTATGGTCGCCTTGGAATGGGGCCAGCCCGTATATTTGTTAGAGGTCTTGGTGGTGGATATCTTCCTATGGGGCGAATTTGTTGAATAGGTTGTCCAGTTGGCTTTGTTATAACGATTCCAGGTGGTAACTGTATACTGCTAGAGCTGGACAAAGGAGGTAAATTAGATTGAGGTGACATTAATTGCCTCACAATGCTTTGATTTTTCATATCTGGATATGTGCTTTGATTGGAAATTTTACTCAAGACTGAGGCGAGTTTTTTCCTTGCATAGGCACTATTTGGATTATCTTCAGGTGTGGGTAATCTATTCTTAGCAGAGCTTAACAATAATCTTCTATGACCAATAACATCTGCTATAGTTACTGGTTTAGTTGTTACACCGGGAAATTCAAAATCGAAGGGGGGTGCTAAATTTTGAGAGGGGAAGAAATGTTTTCTGCATCTGTTCATATGTGCAGTAACTTTAGTCTTTAAATGGCTCTGAAAAGAGCAAAATATACACTCATGAAAAGGTATACTAGATTCAATGACAGCTTTCTTTTGATGAAGAGCTTCATAATGAAAAACGATTGAATCGATAGTTCTAGATAAATACATACAAAAGTTACATTTGAATTCCCTTCTGGGACTTAGGTGAGGAATAAGGTAATGTCCTTCCATGACAATTGCAGATTCAGATTTAAAGCCGCAAAACTTGCACTGTTTCATTCTAAAATTAAAAATAGCATTTATTTCTTTTAATTTATTATGCTTCTTGTCATGCTCTGAAATGGCTTTTTCGAGATCCTCTTCGGTCGGCTTTTTCGATTTCAATTGCCTAAGTTTTGAGCGCTTCATATCTCTTTGATACCACTCTTGGACGCGGCTTGTACCTAAGTTAATAAGAAATTGCCCAACAGAACTTTGGAAAAAATTCCTTTTTGATACCATATTTTGCCTGCTCATACTTTCTCCATTTATCTTTTTCTCTTCACCCTCGAGTTTAGGAAATTGATCTGCTTCTTTAATGAGAAGAGGTACAAGTAACGAAGGGCTTTCAATAATGACTTCATTATCACCCAACAAAAGAGTACCTGTATGGGGAAATTTTACAGGTTTATATTCACCAGCTTTAAATGCGGGTATTGCTTCCTTCAATGAATTGTAATAAGGGAACCCAGCAGAGGTAGTGATGTCACTTGAGGAAGGTACAGGAAATTCTATTTTAGTTGGAGTAGGCGCATCAATATTTATTATTTGTATCTCAGAATCACTTTCCTCATCCGATTTCTTTCCATCATCATTTATATTAATCACTTCAATATCATCATCATTTAGAGTATCTTTTTCTGTTTCTTTTATTTCTTCAATACTCAAATCTTTGTTTTCAATTCCATTCGTTTTAGCTTCATTTGATTCTGATTTATCACTTTTTATCACCTCTACTGGATCACTGGAATCTGCAGAGTCTTTATTTATGCCATTGTCGGTTTTTGTCTCAACTACAGATTGCAAATCACTATTTATACTAGAAGCATCATTAGATTCTTCAACATCTTCACTATCAATGCTTCTATTTGGGGAAATACTTTGTTCATTACCAGTTTTTATTTTCTTTTTTTCAACTTCGCTAGTGTCATCCAAATCTGAATCTTCAAGAGGCCTTTTGCAACTAGAATTCTCTTGATTTAATTCAGAATCATTTATATCACATTCATTTACATTATCATCAGGCTTGACTTTCATTTCTTCGTCGGATAAACAGTCATTTGATTCACCATTTACAACAGGTGAATCGCACGATTTGGAGTTGCGGAGTCTTCTGGAACGTTGACCATTTGTGTGATTCAGATCATTAGATTTCACGTTTGAAACATTTCCTTGTTCTGCTTGAGGCTCATCTTGAATTTGCCATCTTTCACCAGGTTGAAAATCAATGCAAGGTTTGCTGGTAACATCACTTTCTTCATTCTTTAGTTTACATGCCTTAGCATTGGCTTCAGTTACACTCATGGCCATATGTTACACTATAAAAAATAAATTTAGAATACTTTTAGGTTTGGAATTTTTCAATAACAAACTTTAAGAAATTAGCTACTTTTAGAAAAAAACAATGGACAAATTCAAATATTTATACAATATATTCTCAATATCTCAAAGCTGAAGGTATGCTAAAAAAAAGTACAAGATAGTGAGTTTTCAAAATAACAAGTTTAGAACTAAATATGTTCTAAAAAGTATAAAAATATATTCCAAAATATTCCACTAAAAAGTAGAGTTATGAAAAGTTTGAATATCAACTATTAAATATATATATTGTAATGACAGTTGACTATAAGTCTAAATACAGTAATGATAATTTTATTTTTAAAAGTAAGACAAAAATAATTATGCCTTAAATAGAAAAGAATTGGTTTACAATAAACTTATTTCGAGATTTTTCCACAAAATTTCTATTTCTGAAAAAATTCTACAGAATAAGGTTTTAAGAAGAAACTCTTCGACATCGGAATTTAAATTAACATTAGGTGGATATATAATACCAAGGAGAAAAATATTTTTTGGACATAACAAGGTTTCAGAGACATTGAAGTTTGAGGTATCGAGAGTCTATTGTAATCTTAACAACTAATTTGAAGGATACTTTTATTCCTAGTAGGAGACCTGTGTCAAAGATCATTTTTAAATAGGAAATTAAAAGGAAAAATAAACTGAAAATGTTTTTATAAGACTTTTTCTTTTTTTTTTGCAAATTAATCAGCTAAGTATTTGCATGCAAAATACTTAATTTTAAGGTAAACTTTCTATTTAAACAGCAATTTTGTGAAGTTCACATTCAACCTCTCAGTTTTAATAGAAACACCAAACTAAAATAACAATATTTCTCATATCTTCAAGAAAGTTACATTACAATTGTTATAAAAATGTTTCATCAAAATTTATTTCTTTGAAAGGTTAGAATAAACTAAACTAAAATTATTAATGCTGAGCTAAAAACATTACTTAAAACTCTAAATTAAGTAAATAGAAGCAGATGCACTGCTTATTTGTGCATGCACGATGGTCATCATATTTGTGCCTGCAGTTATATTTAATTTAGATTTGCAAAAAGAGCAACAACTTTTTAATAATTTATTTTTGCCACTTTAACTAACTGCAAAAGGTTTGAAGTAAAAGAAATCCAACTGGAAAGCATTGCTACAAGACAGAAAGGATAACTGATCTGAAAATTAAAAACATGAATTTCAGAATAAAATACCATTTGCTCACTGGAAATACTTTAAGTAGAAGAGCCTATTCACCACAGTAGCAATTTGTGTAAAAAGAAAACTGTAATATCAGTACTAGGACTTAGTAGTAAAGCAACTATGATTGCAAAGATGGAATTTTAAAAGAAGAAAAAAAACTTAAGAGGATGCTATACTGTAGGAAACTTTTTTCATAATAAAATTATGTTTCACTTTCATTGGTATTTTAAAGGTATTTTAAAATTACAAGTTAAAGTAAATAATCCTGAAAAGATGCTCGCATGCCTTTACACAATGTAATAAATTAACAGTGTGCTTGCCAAATTTTAAAACAAAAAATATGCATCTTTTAAGCACTCACATAAGTTCTTCATACATATATATAAAATTCACAAAATACAAAGATATTTGCTTTTGTGAAATTTATGTGTTTACATTCTAAATTTACAAAATCATGATCAAATAACATATCTGACAAAGAACTACCATTTTAAGCACAATTTTACACTTATTCTGTAATGAGTCGATCGTTCTACTTTTTAAATTAATGCATTTTCCAATTATGCCAAAAAAAAAAGTTTTAACTTATATTTCTCAAAAACATTTCAAAGATAAATATTATTAATCATACTGAATTGACAAAGATGCATAGAGAACTCAGCTCTTAATAAACTCATAGAGAACTCAACTCTTAATAAATTCATAATACATATGCAAATTAGTGAATGGTCCCTTTATGAGATTAAAATTTTTCCATAATTTTGAATTGTAAATGCAATATGGATTTAAGCTAAGCATTTTGACAAAAGAAAATTATTATATGGTCCTTATATTCATGATATTTACAAAATCCGAGATTAAGTTAATAATTTTAATTGTTTTTAAATCAAATAATAAAGTGATATGTTAAAGTTTTGAAACGACTTGAATAACATGAGATCTTTTACTGCATTTGTTAGTAAAATGTTAAAATAGTGAGGGTGGGGGGGAACCTCACTTTAAACTTTTTTTTTTAAAATCTTGCCACTAAAAATTACTGTCTTTTTTTTCATTAAATAACTAAAATCAAGAGCACTGAAAATTTAAATAACAAAAGCAGTAAAATAAGACTACTACATTATAAAAAGTTCAAAATATTTCATACAATTAGAGGACGGTCCCTCAGACAATAACCCCACAATTATAGAATTCTCAATTAAGTTTACTTTTTATTAATCGAATATATAAAAGGGGTAACGAGAATATTGAGCTGATGATGCTTTGTAATTGTTAACTACTATGGACCCACATAAATATGTGTAATTAGTAAATCCTTAAGTCAAGTTCAAGAATAGTGGTATGAGGTACTGATCTATAAATAGAACAGTGCGAGAACGGCATCCGCTTGCTAGTGATCAAGGCGATGGTGTTTCACCAGCTAAGAAATTCACACACAAAAAAAAATGTTTCTCATGGGGAAAATTTTGGCAATGTTTAGTTGGTCCCCGTGATCAGAAAAATTCAACATTTTCGGTTCGATTTCAGAGGACGGGAGAATAAGCCTTGAATTTGGAATCTCGTAATATGCAGTTGAGTTACATGAGTTAGGAGTAAGAATCCTAATTTTTGCATCATTTTAAAGAATGCAACTTTACATGGCAAAATTCCAAATTTGATCAAAATCAGTCGAATAGTTTCTGAGAAATCCGAATTAAGTATCTGACTTTTTAAAATCCCTGAAAATTTTACGTGCAAAAAATCGATATCAATTTACAAACGATATGTTTCATATTTAACATAATTTTTTGAACTTATTTAATTAATTTACTTACTAAAGAATTTTAAAAAAATTCTTCCTACAGGAATAGAAATATTGGATTTTAAAAACACGAAAATATAAATTGCGATATAGAATTTTTAAATCGCGTTAATACGAATCACGATGCATTATCTTCAGATCGCGTAATATGAATCGCAATGCGTAGTTTTTAAATCACGCATAAATACTGATGCGAAAATCGATGTTTAATATTATAACCGCTAGAATAAGATTAGCGGCTTAAGGTTTTATAGATCGCTATTATGGATTTTAAAACTGCGTGATATCAATAGCGATGTACGATTTGTAAATCGCGTGAGTACGAATCGCAAAGCTTAAATTATAAACCAGGTAAATAAAAATCGATGATTGGCGTGAATAAGAATAGCGTAGTGCCAAGTTTTATAACATGTCTAAAACTAGTTTATAACGTCAAAAAGCCAACCCTGCACAAGAAACAAATTTTAAAAATAAGTGCTGTAAAAAAATATGAAACCAAGGCGATACCATAGACCAGTGTTTCCCAAACATATGACTTGTGTGTACCCTTTCTAAATTTTTCGTAACGCTGTGCCCACTAATAAAAAATGAATGTATTTTTTACTATAAAAAATTACACTTAAGTTAAAAATCATAACTGGCTGTTGACACCACTAATTATTAACTGTTAACTCTGCAAAAAATAGCGTATGGAAAAATATGTAATCGTCAATTTTCATGGCTAGCTTTGTTTTTAAATAAAATTTTTTGATAAAATTTCGTTTGTTGCAAGATGTTTCGCATAAGAACGCGTACCCCCGCAAAACTGCTCCTGTACCCCTGGGGGTACGCGTACCACACTTTGGGAAACACTGCCATAGACCAGCGTTCCCCAAAAACGGTCCGCGGATCAAATGGTACTGGGCTGCCCATTTCATTGAAACTGAATTTAAATCCCTAGGTTTATAACCCAAATTATAAATATCTATGTTCCATTAAAATTTTATTTATTTAAAAAAAAGTTTCCCCCGAAGGTAGTGACATAAAGAAACAAGCTCAGGGTTCTCATTGATTTAACGTTCTCGTAAGTTAAAATGTTAAATTACTTTATATTTTTTGGTTTAACTGTATTTTATTTTGAAGGCATGTTCAAATACAATTAAATTAAAATTAATAAATCAAAATAATCTCAAATATAAACAATCAACGTCGTCGGTTGCGAAGTAGAGCACTTTACGGTAGAACAGTTTAACGAGGATCCATACCGCCCACTCTCGGTTCCTACGCAGACTGATCCAAGTGGTCACCCACCCAAACATGTTTATACGATGTAAAAAACTGTATATGTTACAAATCATAATTTTTTCGAATATTAAGAGATAAAAAATAATTATTCACTAAAAGTTTTTTTTTTGCATGGATTTCTCTTTGAATAAGCAAATTTTATAATTGTGTGCCAAAATTTTTCAATTTGCAGAAAAAGTCATTAAGGAATATCATATCGCACAATAGTGAAGAAATAAAATCTTTTTATTAAAATAAATTGAAAAAGAAAAGTGAATTTTATTGCGTTGAAATTTAGCCTTAAGACTCTTTATAGAAAATTCATTATCGCACAACTTGTCAAACATCTAATGTAAAAATAAACGGAAGTTATTAAAAATAAATTATGCACATTATGCGGACGCATTTCCAGGAGCTATGGATTGGAGAGGATGAGGTGTCAAATGACATAGAGTGGGGATGGCGAATGATAACTTTTTAGACGCCATTTTAACTATATTTAGTCGTCACGTGGCGAGCGCTAATCTTGCCCTTTACTGTCAGAATTGATTGTTAAAAATGTTTGATAATACTAGTGCAATGAACAAAACTAGCGATTAGTAAACATTGTCTCACACCAATATGTAATTTTTATAACCGAGTTCAAGACTTCCTCAATCAAACAATTAAAAAATAGGAGTTTAATAATCTTGAAATAAAACAAAGTGAATACCCTAAC